ATGGTTGGCATAATCTCATTTCTGTTTTGAAGTGTTGCCTCTTAATCCCTGAGGAGTAAATGTTGCTACATCCAGGGCTCTTTTTGTAGAAAAAGCCCAGCAGGAACTCATTAGCCTAATAGGCCACACCCAACAGCAGGAACTCATTAGCCTATTAGGCCACACCCCTGACAGCACAGCACATTAACATATTAGGCCACACCCCCATGTTACCAGAAGTGTGGTTATCCAGCCACACCCATCTTTTGCTTCTTATTCTGTTTACCTTGTTTGTTGTCAAAACCCAGGGCCTTTTTTTGTAGCAGGAACTTATTTGCATGTTAGGCCGCACATCCCTACTGTAGCCAATCCTAATGAGTTTCTGCTGTTGGGTGTGGCCTATTATGCTAATGAGTTCCTGCTGGGTGTGGCCAACTCGGGAGCCAGCCGGAAATCCGTTCCTGTGCGTTCCTGCCCAAAAATAGCCCTGGATATATTTGTAACTATTCAATAATTATTATCAAGCATTTATATTATGGTACATTATTGGTATATTATGGTACACTAATGCTGCCTTAAGCTGAATGTAAACATAGATTTCGAGGCCTGCAGTGTAAAACACTCTTCAAAACAGGAAGGAAGAGGAGGAGAAGGAGGAGGAGGAGATTGGATTCATACCCCGCCCTTCACTCTGAGACGCAGAGCATCTTACAATCTCCTTTCCCTTCCCCTCCCCACAACAGACACCCTGTGAGGTAGGCAGGGCTGAGAAAGCTCTTTTGAGGACTGCTCTTGAGAGAACAGCTCTGACAGAACTATGGCTTGCCCAAGGTCACACCACCAGCTGCAAGTGGAGGAGTGGGGGAATCAAACCCAGTTCTCCCAGATTAGAGTCCACGCACTTAACCACTACACCAAACTGGCTTTTTGACTGCCACGGTACCTTGATAAAGGATCAAACACGTCAGAGCCACAGGAGCAATGAACGTTGATCCGATATGTGGAATAATTTACCTCTACATCAAAGGAGGACTGTGTTAAACTTTGAGAGTGGACAGTTTGGTTTACAAGGACACTTTAAATGTTTGTCTATCTTGTACTGGAATGTGTTTTGTAATTTGCACCATAATATAAATGCTCGATAATAACTATTGAATAGGTGGCATAATAATATCACGGTTGGCTTTTTTTGTTTACTTACAACCTATCCTGTCATCTCACATTTGCAGGGCTATTTTTGGGCAGGAACGCACAGGAACGGAGTTCCGGCTGGCTCCCAAGTTGGCCACGCCCAGCAGGAACTCATTAGCATAATAGGCCACACCCAACAGCAGAAACTCATTAGGATTGGCTACAATAGGGGTGTGTGGCCTAACATGCAAAGGAGTTCCTGCTACAAAAAAGCCCTGGGTTTTGACAACAAACAAGGTAAACAGAATAAGAAGCAAAAGGTGGGTGTGGCTGGATGACCACACTTCTGGTAACATGGGGGTGCGGCCTAATATGCTAATGAGTTTCTGAGGGGCACGGAACACTGTTACCTTCCCACCGAAGCGGTGCCTATTTATCTATTTATCTATTTGCAATTTTTTGCTTTTGAAATGCTAGGTTGGCAGGAGCTGGGGCCAGAGATGGGAGCTCACTCCATCATGCGGCACTACTAGGGTCTCAAACTGCTGAACTACTGACTTTCCAGTCAGCAGCTCAGCATCTTAACCACTTGAGCTGCCGCAGCCCTATCTTACAGCTATCTTACAGCTACCTATAAAACTAGACCACAGTCCCTAATCATCTGTCCAAGTAATGTTGTAAATCATGCTTATATGTTTTTTAATGTGTATCTACTGTTTTTAACTTTATAATGTTATTGTTTATACTGCAATCCATCTATATTCCCTTTCGGGTGTCCTAATAGCAATGGCCTTTGACCCTACCCAACAAAAGCTACCTACATATAAGCAGGTGTCATTTCCTGCAGGAGCGCACAGGAGCGGAGCTCCGGCAGTAAAGAGCCCAGGGGGCGGGCACATGCAACAAGCCCCACCCCCTGCTCCCCGCAGCCCTCAGTCAGAGCAAGAAGCAGCCCGGCAAGTTGCAGAGCTCCCCCCGCCCTGCCCCCAGTCCAAAACAGTCCAGTGGCACTTTAAGACCAAGTTTTATTCAGGTACAAGCTCTCCCTCCTCTGTGAGGACAGATCTGCATGTTCCCCCCCCATAGCTAGCAATCCAAAACGGTCCAGTGAAGCCCGAGCAGTGGGTGTTGCCTTCTGACACACTTCCAGTGATGTCAGGGGGAGTGGCATATGCAAATAAGTTATGCTAATGAGTTATGCTAATTAGCTCCTGCAC